TGGTTTTATATTCGATAGTAATTGATAGTAAAATCAATTTTGCGAAGAGAAATCATTTATCATTTAATCACAACAAAGTTCTATTTACCCACAATCAAACTTCTCAGTAACGAACCTGTTTCAGGCTCACCCTGCTCTACTCACTAGACAGTGGACTGTTCCATTATACCCGTAGGTGTTACCCTAATTAACCTTCTAGTTCAGTGTCTGTCAATTGGGTGTCTGTCAAATGGGTGTCTGTCAATTGGGAGATAACCTTCTACTTGTAACAATTATAAAATTTACGTTGCTGAAGGAGAGCTTCACCCCTAAAACATAGTGAACCTCATCTCCTACAGCAGATGAGTGTCCTCTCAATAATCCTCGCCATCCATCGGTGTCAATGGGCAAATTATGATTTGATAACAAAATTTTAAAATCGCTAAATACATTTTTGATGGAAGTGCTACATTTGCTAATTCTGTCAGTTCTTTTAAGCGTTGGTAGTATTACCGTTTGGACTTAACAATATCTTCTCGCCACTTTTTATAACTAGGTATTTTATTTATCAATAATATCCCGAGTCTCGCCCCAATATAAAACATTGATTTGGTAGATTTGGCGGCGTCTCCTTGAAAGATCACAACTTTGGCTTGTGAGATATTTACATTAAGCTTCCATTTTTGCAGTATAGATGAATGGGATCCAATGTTTTTTTTCATAATCCGGACTGTGTAACTAAATACGGTTCAAGATCAGTTAAGAATATTGAAAGAAATATTGAAAAGAGCAGTGGTGGTACTTTATTGCCCTGTCTCACTGTGATCAATCCAAAATGGCTTAGTATTTTGATAGGGTTAGTAAGATCTCATGGATATTTAAAGAATGGTCGTATAATTACTGTCAGCCACATTTCAGGGATTACAACAGATGAAAACTCAAGATTGAAAAAATCCGAGTTCAACAAGGCAACTATCTATTATGTGATCATTCTCTACAAAGTCCAATCTTGAAGCCTTATTTAGGTTTCATTGTAGTTTGTATAATTTCTTCAGTCGTTCAACATTTTGCAATCGTATGATAGAGTTTCCTTTGTACATTCTTCTTCTTTTTTCAATTCAAAGATTTATGTTTTCAAGTTGTTGTTTTAAAAAAAATAATATATCCCACCTCCCCCAGTGAATTAAGACATTTAGAAAAGGTTGAAATGAGGAAACGACGCTTGACCGACATCTGATATTATACCTCTTGTTGATACATTTTGATCGATTTCCGGTACTGCACGACATTCAATTTCGCGGAATTCTATATTCTCGGGGAACGCAGTGTGAGGCCGAACCACCATCAGACATACTCTAGATATAGCCTATGACAAGATCGGAATAGTAGGTTTATGTGTTATGCAACAATGACGAAAATGGAATAATAGATATACATGTGTATGTCACATCTGTGGGTGTACAGGTTCCTTTTAAATTTTGTTCTCCGTCGAAAAACAACTTTTTACAGACTCTGGTCATGGATGACCATGACAATCACCAACAGTTTCGTTGTATGTGGATCGGTAACGTTTCATCACGTAATTACTGCCTTTATCTACAACACTTGACCCATGTGGTCAGACCAAGCGACCTGTCCAGATCATCGACAGCGGGATTGCACCGGCTATTCTGGACTCCATGTAGGGCTTTAGCATTGCAGGGATGGTTAGGCTGTAGTAGGTTCAGGGACTGTGAGACAAGGGACTTGACGTCGGCCACCACGGAAGAATGACTTCGTCGACAGTTCAATTCTGTTAATTTCCGAAAACCACCAGCGATAGTACAAGAGTTTACGTATTCAACACACAACATGCATTCAGTACACACAGATGACAACGTACTTAAGTGATTCAGACACTTTAACGTAACAATGTATTTAAATGTGCAGTGATCTGGACAGATGTTTCAAAGTGGATATATTTTCATAAAATTTTAAGTCTTTTCTGCATGTTGGGTTACTTGTAACAATTATAAAATTTACGTTGCTGAAGGAGAGCTTCACACCGAAAAGATGGTGAACCTCATCTCCTACAGCAGATGAGTGTCCTCTCAATAATCCTCGCCATCCATCGGTGTCAATGGGCAAATTATGATTTGATAACAAAATTTTAAAATCGCTAAATACATTTTGATGGAAGTGCTACATTTTCTAATTCTGTCAGTTCTTTTAAGCGTTGGTAGTATTACCGTTTGGACTTAAGCAATATCTTCTCGCCACTTTTTATAACTAGGTATTTTATTTATCAATAATATCCCGAGTCTCGCCCCAATATAAAACGCTGATCTTTGGTAGATTTGGCGGCGTCTCCTTGAAAGATCACAACTTTGGCTTGTGAGATATTTACATTAAGCTTCCATTTTTGCAGTATAGATGAATGGGATCCAATGTTTTTTTTCTAAATCCGGACTGTGTAACTAAATACGGTTCATGTCAGTTAAGAATATTGAAAGAAATATTGAAAAGAGCAATGGTGGTACTTTATTGCCCTGTCTCACTGTGATCAATCCAAAATGGCTTAGTATTTTGATAGGGTTAGTAAGATCTCATGTATATTTAAAGAATGGTCGTATAATTACTGTCAGCCACATCTCAGGGATAACAACAGATGAAAACTCAAGATTGATAAAATCCGAGTTCAACAAGGCAACTATCTATTATGTGATTATTCTCTACAAAGTCCAATCTTGAAGCCTTATTTAGGTTTCATTGTAGTTTGTATAATTTCCTCAGTCGTTCAACATTTTACAATCGTATGATAGAGTTTCCTTTGTACATTCTTCTTCTTTTTCAATTCAAAGATTTTGTTTTCAAGTTGTTGTTTTTTCAAAAAAAAATATAGACGGCTTTAATGTCATAAGTTATCAGATGGTTTCTGAGTCTTTTTTATTTAGGATCTACCAAAATTCTTTGGGTGAGTTGTAAAGGTTTTCACGAAATATCTTAAAGTATTTAAATTTTCATTTTATTTATATCCATACATTTTATGAATTTGATTCTTGGCAAGTTATTAACATCTGTCTTAAATTCAAAACGCCGTAATATCTTATGAAATCATTTTTTGGGGGGTCGTTTACATTATATTCCGAACCGGGTTTATCTTTTTCACGTTGTCTATATTTCACGGTAGTGTTTCAGACGCGGAATGTTTCCCCTCAACAGGCAGGTCTGTAGACAGACTTCGAGCACAGCCGTCATGAGAGGATTTATCTGTTCAACTTTTATAATTTCCAAGTATCTATCCAATTTATCGAGGTTGTTGTTTATAGGTTTGTTGCTGTCATATGGGTTTTGCGTGGTTGGATTTTTACCTGGATTACTTGAATACATACAACGCCACTCAATATGAAGGGAGTGGATAATGGAGAGGTGGGACCTCGATCACATCAAAAGTCCGTTGAGGGCTGAAGACACGTTTGCGAAACTGTATCGTAGTCGATAACACTTTCGACTTTGCACGGTGTTGTGCCTATCATTCTATCATTTCCTGGCAGCCATTGCCAATACACATGTTTACATCTTCACAGTGTTCGATACGTTCTATGCTAAAGTTATTTCTTGTTTTGTGAAGCCCTCACTCAAGGCAGTGCAAACTCAGAACAGATTCCTGATTAAGTTCTAATCTCATTTGATTAAAATCGAGTTAAACTTCGTGTAATATTTCGTAAAAACACACAAGTTATTTGTTACATTAAAGTGTACAAAAAAGGGTGACATAGTCACTTTTTAAAATGTTTTTTATTACCGATTGCTCGGTTTCATAAACCGTATCATTTGTAATATATTTTGATCCTTCTGGTGGGATATAAAAGGTTCCTAAATATAGGTTCTGATATGAGTTAAATACAGGTTTACGTATTATATTAGTCCAAAGAATGTACTCATGTTTCTTTGTTATCGATGTTTTATCTCAGTATTTACTTTTAAATGCTACACCTACACTGTATGTTCTCATTACACTGCCATCCCTGTTTTGTAGGAAAATCCGGATATATACTGAGAGAAACAAATAAAGAAACACAGGAAAATTCAAGTGTTCCTTTACCTTTTTACAGTTTTCATCACCAGCTGTGAATACCGCGGTGGGATGAAATCTGAGAATAAATAAAGGAACACTGCCATGTAATTTGAGCAAATACATTGACAATTGTTATTTTAGCGTCGGTGATGTCCGTGTGGTTATCTGAATCCCTGTAGCAAACATGTTGTCAAATGCAATGTTCAAATTTATATTTGTTCCATTTGATTTTGTTGATATATTAACATTCCTTTGAGGAATATCCCCATCATCAGCATCAGTTTACTGGGCTTCCCTGTGATAGAAGCACTGTATTTAGAAATTGCAACATACCAATGTCGGTGCTACATCTATACCCATGATGATCCGGGTTAGAATTGGTCTTCAGTAACCCATGCTTGTCGTAAGGGGCGACAACGGGATCAGGTGGTCAGGCTCGCTGACTTGGTTGACACATGTCATCGTATCCCAATTGCGTAGGCCGATGCTCATGTTGATGATCACTGGATTGTCTTGTCCAGACTCGATTATTTACAGACCGCCGCCATACAGCTGGAATATTGCTGAGTGCGGCGTAAAGGTAAACTCATTCACTCACTACATCTATTGTAGGTTCTGCCGACCATGGCATCTCTGAGGGCCCCTGTTGATTCCCACGAATGTCTATAGCCTGTAGGGCCCTAACGAGATGTCGACGACGACAAATCGTCATCCAACGTCCTACGTGTGTGTAGATGACTGGACGAACCTTCGCACCGTCCCTTTCCCACCCTTGTCTGCGGTCTGTTTACCTTTGCCCATTGTCTTTCAGCAGATCATGCCAATAAGGACATATTAACACAAACAAACAAATAATCCCATTCTTTTTGTTTGTTCATTGGTAGCAAATAACAAACCGACAACGCGTCGTACAATATGTTTACTAAACTGTACGTCTTGGTGAGCAAAGAATATAACACATCTATATATTTATGTAGTGTAATTTATTTCAGATTAAAACGAATAGAAAAACCCAAACCTCGTTATGTACACTAAAGACAAAACATGTTCCAAAGCCTACTTGATAGTTCGTCATAACAAAGCTTTATTGCTAATGTTAACAATTAATCTTTATCCAACCTTATCCAAGACCACGTTAAGACTTGCAGTTTGTGGTTACAGTTTTAGAAACGCCTTAGACCTCCAAACGCTTGGATGTAAAACTGAACATTATGCAATCCCCTCTCTACCTATGTCTACACTTATTGAACAATCTACTTAAATAATTTAAATTCATAGGCAAATTCAAATTTTCGAAATGTATGGTTATGCACTCACTACTACGTCTTTGTTTGTTGCAACTATGATCAAAATTCAAACAATGTATTCTATTGCATAAAATGATATGATATCAGTACAGCACCTAACGGCACGTGAACCATCTGAAATAAATCTACAATTTCTTTCATCTTTCCATACTCCCATAACAAATTCTGGTAGATTTGAACTGAATTATGTTATAAGCTCTCGCATATATACATGCATGCATATTGTGCACATCAAGTTGAAAATAATTCATGTATAAACCCACCATTATAAATACTAAAACCAGACTATATATGTTGGTTATGCTTGACAACTGACCACCACAGTATACTTGTGTAATAAATTCGTATACATCTTGACAATATTTTGTGATATGCTTTCTCATACAGAGATGGGTATTAAAATAAGCGTTGTCTTGTCTTATGATTCTTAGTTTTACTTGACAAATATATGTATTTGAATTCAATTAGGATGAGCAATGTCCAGGTTAAAACAGGTTGGTCCAGCCTTGGGTCATCAGCATCACATCATGTCGGATCCGATTTCTGGGTTGCTCTAGCATTTCTTGATTTCCTCTCGTGGTCTCAAGTAGGTGGCCAGGTTGAAGAGGTCCCGGAAAACTTTGTAGTTGTCACTATGATAACATGATCAACACATTACAGAGTATCATACGGGCAAGGTATTTGTATGCATTATTGTCAACATCCAATTTCAATTATTCCTTTCAAGTTGTATTTTACATTAGACAAAAACTAAACGAACAAAATTAAACACACAGATATTTTAATCATCTGTTACAAGAGCTTTAAGTCTGTGTTTAATGACTTTGCGAGGTTGTACTTTTATTCTTCGATTTTAAGTTGAAAAAAGGAGTATGTTGTCTTACTTGTAGGTTTCTCTCAAGTACTTATAGCCGGAAGTGCCTTCTGTGCCCCCAGTGCCCTGCTTCTGGCCAATCATCCTGTGTACCATGTGGATGTGGGTGCCTAAATTTGAAGGAAATGAAAGGCAGAGGTGTCAGTTGATCTTGGAATTCAATTTCTAACTATATGCCACACAGGGGTAAATCATAAGAAGGTAAGGGGGAATATATTGAAAGTTAAAATATTTTAGATACTTGCTCAGCAAACGCAGCTCAAACAATTGGTTATTGATGTAAAGTGAAAACAGTAGGTTCACATTATTTCAGTCAGTGTATTGGTACATACTCCGCCACTTCATGAGGGCGACATCTATGTCCATCAGCAGTGTGAGGACCTGGTACGGCAGCTGGAATTTAGGTTGGTCCTGGTGCAGCATGATGAACAGGGCTCCTTGCAGCGACTGACGACCCATTTGCCAGAAATCTTTCTCTGCAGATAGAAATGTACCAGTTTGATTCTACGCATTAAAGATCACCATTACCCTTACAGCGTTGTCATGACGACGTTGAATCAGTGTTATGAGAATAAGGTGAGTGGATGTGTTAATATGGTGTTAGGCATCTATTAGAAATATTCCAGCAATATCACGATTGGAACACATAAAATGCTTTACATAATATCGTAATCAAGTTGGGAATCGAACACGGCCATTCGGCGTGACAAGCAAACACCTGAAACACATAAATGACACAACAGGAGATTACCTGCATACTTGTTTTCGACAAGCAGCCATTCCAGGTCATCCTTCTGTGCACATGAAAAGGAAAGATCGTGCATAATTTTGTGTTGATCGACAAGCATTGAAATGTTGACATATATCTTTCGCAAAGAAAAATATTTTGTTATTCATAGGTATTATTGGCAATGTTATGCTGAATGTGAAGATTTACCTGGTATTTGCTGTAACTTTTCCAAAACTGCTTGTCGTCTATTCCCGGTGTTTCAGCAAGCCAGCTCTGCATCACCAACGGTATGTTTATTACTAGACCATAGTTTGTTTTCCATACATACTCTATTTGACCACATACACGAAAAATCATACATATATACATAATACGAACATAAATGTGTAACGCAATAGTCTGATCTGTCTTCTTTCAATGTTCATCTGGACCTATAGCAAAAGGTATTTGTTGAGCATTGCATAAGATTAATCGACATTTTTCTCATCTCATCAACAAACGCGACAACCCCAGCCTCTCCTGAAACACGATAACATTATAAACAATACCAAAATCCTTACCTCCACAACATCTAGGAGTGTGACTCCATCAGGTTCTTCTGGGTATTCCATGAGAGTGTTCTTGTCTTTTTCGTCAATCTTGTCTTTATAGTCTTTACCCTCGTACTTTTCTCGTTCATCCTTGCAAAGCAGAAATTTAAGAAAATACTTTATTTAACATTTGAAGTCGTAAGTAACAGGGGCACATGGAATCAAAGTATGTTGTACTTGAATCATACGGGATGCCAAGGAAGGATGGAGTTATGAATATCTTACTCAAATGTAGTTGCATCAACTCCAGTCATGTTACAGTTTTAGATTTTATGGCATAATGATGAATCTTATAGGTATATCGTTATAGAAGATGTAGTTAAAAGGGTTATATCATACGTCTTTGATTCCAAGAAGCTTCTCGATCTTCCGAAACTGGAGACTTTGGAAGCCAGATCCCCCGGTCAGATGGTCCCTGAAACACAATTACAACTCAATAAGAGACGTTCGGGCGTATGTAGTAAAACAATACACTATGGGTTTTCTCCTTTACAGAAGAACTGATAAGTAAGTTTATACTCATATATATATATATATATAAATGAACGTGCAGACAGGATAATACACATCGTTATCCCACCTGAAGTCAACGAAGTTCAACGGTGGCATCGTCTCCAGGATATGGAAGTGCTCTACAACCAGCTGAAACCATACGAGATGAATTTAGAATATTGAGCAAACGATATAAGGTTCCTTAACCTGGTTTTGATTAACGTATGTTTTATAAATACTGTATCTTCTTACAGTATATAGTATATAGTTCAGCTTAAAGCTGAATACAGTACATACACACTCCATTGAGAACAGCACATGCCCCTGCAGGCGTGATACAATACACGAGATATATAAAGAGGATATGTTATCAGGGTCCTTAAGCACGTTATAGTTAATCGATGTTTTGTAGATTCGGTAATCTTCTCGCTACCAGTTAAAGCCTCACCTTCAACACGAGCACAACCCTCTGCAGGCGGTTGACCACAGTGTGTAATGGGATTTCATCCCACCTCTAAAACATAAAGGTTCAGTTTCACATGTGGTATGTGGTGTACCTAATTGTCACATTATCAGAGATTACTACATTCCAGGTTGTATACAACGATTAAAATGGCAGTAAGGTATTGGAAACCTAATGACGTAGAAATATATGTAAAGCACAAATGATTATTTATCTACATGTTCAACAAGAAGAGGAACACCCAAGTGGTATCTGTAAGGTAAAAACACCGGGTGTCAGTGAAACGTCACTAAACATACGTGTGTTCATCAATTCGTGACTGATAATTGAAGAGATAAAGCGTACCTTCCCGTGAAAAAGCTTTCTGACAGAATCGACGTCATGAAGAACTTGCTTGAACCAGAGCTCGAAGGCTTAAATTAGAAAACGGGTTACTGTAATATTGTTATAGAAAATTGACATGAAAACTTTAGAAAATAACTAATAATGTAAATAAAAAACATCTGATAAAGAACTTAGATACGACACACAAGATGACAAGACGCGAAGATTCAATACTATACTGTAGTACAGTGCATGTTATGGTTGTGATACCCTATGATAGGGTCAAGATACCCTACGCTTTACCTGATGATGATGATGATGATGATGATGATGATGATGATGATTAATCATATTAATCCAAATACCTTGATGAACAATGATGAACAAGTGTTCATCATGGACCGGAGATATTGTCTTTTGGGTACCCAACAAAGCCGTGACCTGCAATATAGAAATAAGAAACATGTTAACAATCAAATTTTAGTTTTACGCAAAGACAGTGAAGTTTTGACCAGACCCGCAAATGAGGAACTACTTTATCCCAATGGCAAGTAAATATAAAAGAGAAATGTGCGTTTAAAGGCAAGAACAAATTTGAGATTGTTTCGTTGTTAAGAAAAATGTTCAATGTCTTGTAATCCGATATCTACTGATGCCATGTTAAGACGTGGTCACCTGTAAGTAAGAGTCATACGTCAGCTTGGGGATCTCGGGTTCGGGGTTCTCCGCCATTGCTGCTTCCGTTCAGAGCTCTGTGATTGAGGACAAAGACATGAAATAATAGAACACATCCATTCATAGTGAAGAGACATTGCAAAGTACGAATGAAGCATTCCTGTTTTATTCGTCTTTAAGTGGCATTTAGAAACTGGTATGAAGAAGGGGGACATATATGCTACAAACAAAAAGTATGGGAACACCCTAAAATTTGATAGTCATATATAAACTTAAACGTGGTGAGGTCATTTATACTACCAAGTAAATGCAACTTTGTGTGTGCTTAATGAGCACTTTAAACGCCCAGACACAACTGCCTAGTGCATGTGAAAGTCTGTCTCCCACATGCACTAGGGTGTTGGGTTTGGGCGTTTTAATCAAACATGGTGCTAGTGTGTTTCAGCACACTTGTTTCTCGCTGTTTTTGACAATGTTTCATTTCACTCAAGCTCAACGAATATTGAATCCCTGCGTCACTGCATGTTCTAACATGTCGTTTAAAGTGACCATTAAACACACACAAAGTTGCATTTACCTTAGAGTATAAATTACCTCACCACGTTTAAGTTTATTTTTGACTATCAAATTCTAGGGTGTTGTCAATCCATAACATTTGTTTCTCTTGAACTTCCGCTGAGAATCTAAAGTGGCGACAACCAAATGATGTGACGTGTATATGCAGAGTGTCTTGTGACAAACAGTGGAATAATTTACAGGTAAATGATAACAACTAGCACATAAATGGACGAGACCAGATGGCAAATCGAAAAACAAATAGTGGAGTTCATGAAGCCAATATACAATCGGAATAAAATAAGCTGATTGAAAACTGAATATCACTTGATTAACTATTCCCAAGCAAACAAGTAGTTCCTGTTTGCTGAACAGAAAATATTTTATTTAAAGACAAACTTTAACTGTTTAACTTTGTTGACAAACATGTTGGCCTAACATCGTACTAACATGCATTGAATCGAAATCTAAACCAACAGCGTTAAGGGAGATCTTCTGGTGGATGGATTACTCAATGCAGATTTTAAGATGACGTCATTTCCATAACAAACAAACGTTTTTCATAAAGTAATTAATAGAGGCTTTAGATCAATGTGCGTCAGTTGTTTGAATTATTGACTCAGTGTTTTTGCATATGTGTCACAAAACATATTGGTGTCTCGCCTGAACGTGTATGTGAAGTCTAGTAATTGATTCAATAGTATAGTATGGTACAATTAGTATTCCATGTCTATAAAGTGCAATGCCTACTACTTACATTGTGGGAAACTATGTGACGGCGATTCGACTGGGTCAGCGTAAAAGCCCGCACCACTCTACTAGTGGTATATTTTTAAATGGGTCGAGCCTGACCCGAGTTTGATCACATTTTCCAAAACATCGTTTTGATTCTTTATAAACTCCATGCTTAACATAAACTCATGCTTGTCGTAATCAGATAAATACCGGACGTCATTGATCGGTAAATAGAAATCGTGAGAATAATCGCAAATTTAAAAAATGAATTTGTAGTAATTTTCTAAAGTTCTAATGTTTTACCTTATAACAATACCCATATATCAAATAAAAAGACAAAAATCCTTGCATAAAAGTGATTGTTGTTCAAACTTCCAAACATATTACATTTTTTCCTCAAATTATAGACCACGTTCAAACTAATCTAATGTCCCTATATTAGTAATGTTAAATAAGATATTATAAAATAAGTGTCAAAGACAAACAGATGAACATGTAAATTAAACATATAAAGTAACACATACATAACATTTATGCTTATTCATTTTGGTTCGATAACATATAACGTTTAAACGTAGTGTTAGTTCATTTTTTCAAAGAAAGAGTAAAAGAGTCGGTCTTACCAGCCATGTAGTTCCGCCTTGATTAAGCCTGTTCCACCCCGCCGTGTGTTATATGCAGCCTTGGTGCAATCATGTGGTGCCTACTTTCTGTTCCAATCGTTCATCTTGTTCAGGACTGGCGGATATTTATAGTGATGATGACTATATTACTTCATTTGAAATGTTAAGAAGAAAATGTTCAGTACAAAGGCAACAGGCCCAAGTACAAAATGAAGATTTATACACACAAGGTGGTTAAGTTCACAACAGCATCAACGTTGAAAATATGTACATTTACAGTAATGAGAAACATAACATGAATGCTTCGTTAATAAAGTTTGCATAAAGAGCTACAAATTTAGGGTTGGACTTTTGAATCATTATTTACATATTCAATATTTATCAAATATTATATACTTATTATATACTGGACATTCTAACATAAAATGAAACCTATCTTCTAAGATATTCTTACAAAATGGACAAAATCTTGATGTTCCGGATTTTCTACCTGTATTCCTCATTATTTTTTATTCATCTGACCTTAAAACAGATACATATCTTCTTAAATCTTTATTATGTATTGTCAATAGGTATGATTCCATTTGAAAAGTTATTTTATTGGTAGAGTAGAAATCTAAATTAGAGTGGTAATTTTACATGTAAAGAATAGAGTATTAAAATCGTTCACCCTTTGCGAGAATTGTGAAATAAATAAATCACTGTTTACAACATTCTGGAAATTCCATGCATAATTAAAACCATAGGTATAGGTTAATCATGTAATATTTGTACCGAAACAGGTTTCATGTTAAACTATGTAATCATCACCTGTACTAGATGTGAAAAATGACAAGACAGCCTCTGTGGAAATACAAATTGTGATCATACCAAGCGTTCGCAAAATGACAAATGAAATCTTCACTGCCCAACAGGCGACAACAGCCTTTCACCATAAAATCTTTTGAAGACTTTACTGAGAAGTTGTAACCGTGATCGAATAACTTTCTAGCTAGGGTCATGATATAAATATTAAGCAGACTCGTCTGTATCACAAAAGCTGTGAAATGCCGACACCATGTACTACGGTTGCTGGAATAGTAATCGAAAGATGATTGTTGGAAAGCTGAAATCGCCCTTCTTGTTATACAGACTTGTCGATAGTGTTCTGTCACTGTAAATATTTATGCATAGATCTTAACACGAAACAGATGAGTCTTGCTCACCTCATTTCATTTCTAGATGTAAATCAGCGGATTGAGTGAGTTTTACTCCCCGTTTAATAATATCCCAACAATATCACGACGTAGGACACCAGAAATAGGCTTCACACGCGGTACTCATGTGGGGAATCAAACTAACTTCTTCGGTCACCAGAATACCCCACCGCCCGTAAATCAGCAGAAGGGAATTGAGTGTTTGACCTTTAGTGAATAACATCAGATAACATTATTTGCCGAAACTACTTTGTTATGATTTTGACTCTGCCTAAGTACAGCATATGAAATTAGAAGCGACAAACCCTTTCCACGTCCGTAAGAAATCTCTGTTAAAAGCAGAGTCGATTGTATAATTGTGACGAAATCATGACTTTCACAAACCTGTTTTCCTTGAGGAAGTCGTGCATTTCAACATTTTTTCTCAGGAAACAGGATTTCATCAACAACACATGTTGTAATAATGTTGCACAGAAACGTCATAGGAAAAATTAAGTGCGTTTGTGTAGTTCGTACAATGAATAAATATCTTTTATGCCATGCCACCAATTGTTTAGGAGCAGCTTGTTGTTATCAGCAATCTGTTAATCTGTATATGAACAGAATTATATTTCTGTCAAAACTTGAATGAACAAATCAATTTTTTCCAGAATAGCCTTGTCTCACAAAGCCATTCTTTGTTTACGAAATGTTTCCTTGTTCATGAAATTCACTTCATAGCATATTGTAATGTTCTGTTTCTATTTTCTGCACGCTGTGAATTTCACTGCCAAACTGTTCGGTATCCACCATTTCTGATGTGTCGCCGCTTTCCAAGAAGGCTATTGTCTACCCACGAGTACAAGGTCACCATGACACGTCTTGCTAGTTCAGGAAGTTTTGAAAGAGGGCTCGAATTCCACTCTGGAGAGCTTGTTGATATCAATAAAATAGTCACAGGCCTCGATATATCAATTGGCCTACACGAGTTTTAGATGCATTACAGATTACTTGAACATTGACCAACTCGAAGTCACGGTTGAATCACAGCTTATTATGTATGTGTATATGTGAAGCGTATTGTAAAACTTGTGTGACTTCTGTTATGTACTGTGAAACACTATTTCAACAGTTCTACATTGTGCAAGTGGATTGTCAGTGAGGGCCAGTGCCATGCTATATATCGTTAGGACCTCATAAAATGCAAAGTGCATGTAGAACGTGCGAATTGGGAGTATTGTTATGTTCATCGGTTTCTATGCCTTTGGAATTCCAGTAATGCATTCATACACAATATTAAGTCACGCTATGGACTAATGTCACGTAAGAACCTGTTTTGCCTCATTAACGACCATGTATGGTACATGTTGTACCTCGCCGCTGCAACCACTACAGGAACGTTACAGGGAAATTGTAGTCTATTCACTATTGCCAGGCCGTTATGACACGTCATGCTATTTCAGGGAGTATGAAATACAAGTTTTCTAAAGTGAGTGTTCACATCAGTTCAATGTAATCGATTCACATGGCGTATTCCCTAATCGTTTGTAAAAAAATTGGGGATAACACGAATTTGTGCATACAGATAAATATAAATATATATAAAAGTTAAACATACACAGGCCTTGATGAACAACGGATGTATCAATTTGCCTGGACAAGTTTTAGATGCTAACTAAAAATCTGATACCAAACAATGACAACGTGGTCCCGACGGGACCTGACACCATTTGGCAGATTTTACCTTCCCTAAACCATCTATTTACCACGCTTCTTAATCCAAAAATGAATATATGATCTACAAAGAAGATGCTTTAGGTTTGTGTGGAAGACACTGCAAGACAGACAGATGAAAATGATGGACTTATTGTACCCATCAGTTTGGAAACAATACAGATCTCTTGGGTAAGAAGAACATATACAAGCGATACAAATATATATGCACTGATAGCTATTAACATTACAACGGAAACTTTGTTTCCAACCGAGATTGGAAATACTAACTATTATTTTTCACAAAATACCTAATACTCTTTGGCTTGATGTCTATGAAGCATGGGCAAAATTACAATCACAACAAGAGCACGATATGACAGATACACCAAAACAGCTTATATGGGCAAATGACAATAGAACTATTGCTGAGAAATCCTATAATATACTGACAATATTTAAAAACAAATTTAAATTCATCAATGCTTGACTCAAGAGTGACTGTACTTTAGTCTGGCGAATTTACAACTGAATACAAAGAAAAGACAAACTTGTAGATTCTGCAGGACTTATCAATGTAATTAAATCGTTCATCCATTGCAAGAAATAAATAAATAATAAAATAATTAAAAACACCCAACTCCAAATAAGGTAGACAACCATTTATTCCATGCAATTTGAATATCTTGTACAGGGAAAAATGGGATGCAAAATATTATCAAGTGCACTATCTAAATTAATACATACTTCTCACGGAAAACTACGCAATCAAATATAATGGGAACGAGACATAAACGAAATTAGATTAAAAGTCCAGTGGAAAATTTATAACTAAATACCCATTAGAGCAACCCTTAATACGCAATTTCGATGGCTACAATTTAAAATTATCTAGAGAATTCTGACAATAAAAAATACCTATTAAACTACAATATTATGTCACATTCATTGTGCTCTTTTTGCGATACGGAATCTGAAACCAATATGCATATGTTATATGAGTGCAAACATATTAAAACGTTGTGGAAGCAATTAACAAATTGGATAGACACTGTAACTGGCACAAAATTAGAACTGAATAAAAACACATTATTTTTGGATATAAAGAAAGAAGAAATGATGAAATCTGATTTTCATCTCCACAAAACAATTCATCTATGCAAAAGAGATGTTTAAAATCTACCCCTAACATAAACTGACTAAGGCGCCATCTAAATATCTTATATCAGGTAAATAAATGTGCAACATATTCAAGATGTCAATACACGAGGTTTTGGTCTTTTTGGTCTTCATGTTACAACTTCTTCAAATGAAAAGTTATTTTTAAATTCTTGGTCGCCATGTAAAAACTTCTTCACATGAAAGAACATACTTAATGTATTTCATTCGATGTTCGCTCAATGTACAAATGAAACTAGTATCATATATATTATATACACTATTGTCAAATATACATGTACAAGTATCTCTAATTATTCATATGATTGTGTATGTACACATCTAATATACTCTTCCTTTCAAAAAGAAATAAAGTGATAAAAATCTTTTAGATGCATTACAGATTATATAAAAATTGTCCAAGTCTATATCACGGTTGAATGTTATTATGTATGTGTATATGTGAAGTGAATCTGTTAAATACTGATAAACTGAACTGAAGAAATGAAGTGACTGTAAATAAGCTACCTAAATTAAGGACATGCAGGTTATTTAAACATGATTTGTGTAATCAATCATACGTCACACTCCCACGACCACTGAAATCTGTTGTCGCATCCCTGTGGTGTGGATCTCTGAAACTAGCCTTAGAAACAGACAGATTCATCTCCCTCCAATCCTAGCTGGTGAACGTTACTGCAAACTATGCAGCACGCTGAGTGTAGAAGTTGCCCGTTCTACAGTGACATCAGATATAAACTTCTCTCTCAGTTATCCTGAATATGATTATTTGGACTCCAACGGCATATTGATCTGTTTTATGCAAAATATGGATTTTGGTAACGCCAAAACAATTCTAAAAATATTTTTAAGAAGAAAAATGTGTATTTAGTAATATACTTTTATTATTACTTGCTTCTTAAGGTACCTTCTCTATATCTATGTACAAATAGTGTATGGCTGAGTGTGTGTTAATGTTTAGTCTAAGTACAGTGTACATGTATGTACAGTGTTGTGAATAGTGTGTTGTATGCTTTAAGCTGTGTACAGAG